CCACCCGTCCTCCTGCCCTTTGCAAACAGCACAATGTGTGGCTGAAAACCGGAACTTGAGGGGCCGCTTTCTGCATTCTCCCATCGATGAGCCTCTGAATGGGGTGTCCAGGAGGAGAAAGGAAAACAGAACCCTGGGCACTTTGTCAGTAGAATCCCGTCCCCGGAAGGGGCCTCTGGACTCAGAATGGAAAAGAAGCCGCTCCCAGTCCTTGAGAAATTGCCCTGTCCTGTGTCTTTAATCGGAGGCCACCTGGACGTGGCAGCCCTCTGGCCATCTGCTCCACAATTACCAGCCCTGTTTTTCTAAGTGTGTTGGTCAAGGAGCTTTTGATGCCAAGAAACAGAATCATTTTATGCAATTCAAGAAGGCCTGGGCTTGTGTGGGGGATGCGGGGAGGGGGCTCATGGAGAGGCTGCTGTAAGGATGCTGGGAGTCCCCAGAAAAAGCCCCAGAATCAGGGATGCCAGGAAGCCTGGGCGGGTCCTGGGCTCTCCTCCTCTCTGCTCCCCTCCCTCTGCCCTCTGTGATTGGTGCCTCCCTCTCGTCCCTTCTTCTGGGGGGCTGCTCCTCCTTATTCATCTCAGAGGTGGCCTGGTGTGGTCAGCCCAGGAGAGATTCCCCATGACCCTGGGCTCACCCCAATGGCCACCAGCTCCAAATCACTTAGTAATAAGTTCTTGTGAGGAAAGGGGGGTACGGGCCAGACAGTCAGAGCTTGGGCACTGGGGACAGGGCAGGGTCATCAGGAGCCGGTGCTGCCTGTCCAGGGCTCTAGGGAGTGTGCACTGACAGCCAGTTGGTGGAGGCACTGTGCGCTGCGATGGGCGTGGGTTGGCCTCTGAGGTCCAATAGGTCTTGCTCTTAAATCCCCACGTGTGAGGACAGGCCTAGAAGGTGTCTGTTAGAAAGGTCCCCACCCAGCCAACCTGGCTGGGAGGGTACAGCCCTGAGCACGGCCCTGGGTCCCACTTCCTGGGCCTCCCGATGAGTGGGTCAAGGCCGGTCCCAACATGAGCTGAGCCAGAAAGTTTCATCAGCCTGCGTGTGCTCCGGGATACTTCTCTCTCTTCCTCATCTTCGCTGACTGTCGATGAATCCCAGCAATGTGGCGGGACCATCCTGCTAGGAGCGCGCAGCCTGGCCTCCCCATTCCTGCCTTTCTGGAGTCAAGGGTGGCTCCCTCCCCAAGAAGCAGTGGAAATGCAGGAGCTGAATTAGACATTCTTTAAGCTCTAGAAATCCCGCTGTCTGTAAATTTACGTCCTGCTAAAATAAAATTGGATGCCAAAAAAAATGTGGCAGAAAGTCTTTTGGGTGCATTTAAGCAACTTGGAGCCCACTGGAGACTTGCATCCAGAATCATAGGAATTTAGAGCCGGCGGGGACCATGAGATTCATGGGCAACTGAGATGGAATGAAATTGAGTGTCGTGTTAAAGCAGTAGTGTTCTGGATGATTCCTTTCAAACGTGTCCCCTCATGTGTTGCTCATCACAGCCCCGAAAGGCAGGTGGAACTGATGTGGTCAACCTCATTTACAGGATGGTAAACTGAGGATCCAAGTGGTCTTGCCCATGAGGGGTGGGGGTATGTGAGGGAGAGCCAGTGGACAAAAGGAGTAACTGGCAGGGACAAGCCTGGACTTCCAATTCCAGAAACCTCCACTCTTTCCCCAACACTGTCCCAAGGAGGAGGCTGGTATGAAGACATACACTAAGTGACACATGAAGACCTGGGAGTCGTGGATGTCGTGGTCAGGTGTGTGACTGTACGACATTGGCCTAGGATGCGATCCTGACGTGCCATCTTCTGGCTGGGCCCGTGGGAGCCTCGCACAGCTCTCTGTGCCTCAGTTTCCTTGTGGAGATCCCCTAGAACGGGGCTTGGCTTATGGTTCGTGGTTGGTGAACATCACTTATCCTGTTATGCAGGCAGCAGAAGGTTCCACACGCTGAAGTTTCCACTGACATTCACCAGCCCCAGCTGAATACGAGGAAAGAGTGATATCCTGCAGACGAGAGGCCCTCTGAGTTCCCCTTTGTTTCTCCTGTCTTGTTTTAGTATCACAGCGCTGCCAATCAAACCACGTGAAAGAGTTTGGGGTGATCCGCTGTGCTTACTTACGAACTGCTGCCCCGATCTGCCTCGAGTTGGATGGCAGTATCAAGTCTTTATTTTTCCGTTACTCTTGCTGCCGCCACATCTCGTTTTTAAATTTCATTTTACCAGCGCTTTTTTTTTGGCACTCCTTGTTTCCGGATAAAGGATAAAGGATTTGCAAAATGATTCAGCATGTGAACAAAGAGCCTTGTGCCCTCCTGACAAGGCTGCCTGGTTGTCTTCCCTGGCCAACCAAGCATTCTTGCCACATGGGGCTGGTTTCCCACTGGCAGGAACACTGGACCCATGCCAGGGAGCTTCTCCTGACCCCCTCAAAGAACGCCGCTGTCCCAGCTCTCCTGGTGTCGGGGTGCATGGCTGCTTCACCCCAGCCTCTCATCTGCTTTGACCATGCTAAAGCTTCTGAACTGCATAAATAAGGCAAAAACACACATCAAAGATTTTTATCTAACTCGTTAGTTAAACAAGGGAACTGGTAAGATGTTACAACCAGTTCAAGAGAGAAACCAGAGAACCGTACATTTATATGCAGTAAAGGAATGTGGAAATGGATTTACAAATGGATGCAGCATGATTTTCCATTGGAGACACCCAATGTAATCTTTCCTGCTTATTCCAGATTTCTTTACAGCCTCCCTTCCTTACAGTTGTCAAAAACAATCTCAAAGAAAGATGATTCTGGAGCACAGAATAAAGCTGGCCTCAGTCGGTTTGGCTGGATAGTTTGCAGAGGGGCAGCGAGTGTCTGTCTGCCATATGGGCCGCCTTGAGCCTGCTTCACTGGGAGACTTCGTAATTGGACTTTTTAAAGCTTCTATTATTTGCTATCCTGAGGCTAGGAAGGCAAGCACATAACTCTCCCTCCAGATTTCCCTGCAGTACCAATCAGTTTGGGTGGACTCATTTCTTGTCAAGGTCCCCAGAATATTCCAAGGCTCCCAGCCTTTCTTCCCACCTGGAAGGCTAGGAGCTAAGAGCCAGGTTCCGGGTCATTCCCCTGGGAGGGCCATGTAAGCACTGACTCCATGTGGTCAGGCTCGGCTCCTTAATGAGCGTCTGGTCATACCTGCGAGCCTCCTCACCCTTCTCTGGAAGTCTCTGGGCAACCAAGACTGTCCAAAACAGAGCCTCTTGCCCTCCCCTCTGCCCACTCCTGCCTTTCACTGCGTCAGGAGTACCCCCACAAAGTCACCCTGTGCCAAGTGAAAATGGACTCACAAAGGTTCAAGATGACACATGCGTGCCAGTGGGTGAGTGGCCGGGACCCCAGCCCCAGCTCTCCCACGCTGCACCCCCACAGCACAGCCAGAAAAGCCCGGGCCTGTGCTGGGGGCCACTGGGGATGCTCCGTCGTGAAAACACAGGCCCGACATGCGGTCAGATAAAGGCAAGACTCCTCCAGCAGTGGGGGTGGGATTGGGAGGCTACAGAGAAGCTGCCACTGAGTCCTGCCGGCCAGGAATAAGGAGGGGGAGGAGGGCACCCCAGAAGGGGACCTCGGAGCAGTGGCATGGAGTGGAGGGCCAGGGGACGGGGTGCCCATGGACCGGAGGGAGCCTGGGATAGGAGCCTGGCAAGGACACAGGCTAGAGGGACAAACCCTAGACCCTCACATGCCCAGCCGAGGAGGTGGACTTTCTCCTGTGGGCATTTGGGGCCAGCAAAGGTTTCTGCACAGAAAAGTGGCACAACCAGGTCTGAGTTCTAGAAACCGAGGCTGGGCCCTGGGACCAGTGTGGAGGCTGCTGCAGGGGTCCAGGAGCAACCAGGGCTGAGCCAGGACGGCAGCCGCTGGGTGGACAGGGCAGACCAATGGCGCCGTCACTGAGAGTGCAGACGCCATGGTGGGAGAGCAAGCGAGGCCTGGGAAAGCCACGCTGACTTTGTCTCAGCGTTGCCGGGCCAGCAGCACACAGGAAGTGGTGTTAGTCACAGAGAGGCGACGTTTATGGGGGAAAAAGCTGCATGCTCTATTTCGCTGTTTCCAGTAGAGGAAGGTGCAAACTGATCTTCACTGAAAAAATGGTGCTCTGGGCACCGAGGAATAACCACTGTTGTCAGGCTTGCTTCTTGCCCAGGCCGGGGACCCGAGCTGATAACAAAGAGGGCCCTTACAGCAATTCACCAGGGGGACTTTGAAGGGAAACATCTATTGTGATGAAAACGGGGGCCTTGGCATGGACTGTCCCATGCACTGTCCAGCCTTGGAGAATGTCCCGCCTCACTGTACTTGAAGTCCCTTCCAAGGAGGGATTCTGGAGCCGAGTCTCACAGTCGGGACCCCTTGACAAAAGATGCTGATGCAAACGGGTTTCTCTGCCATCCAGCCGGGGTGGTGGGTGCTGTGCCTCCTGCATGATCGGCTGTACTGTGGAGGCTGGCCAGGTCACATCAGATCTGTTCTCATTGTTTTTCTCTCTGATTTAGTCATTCAGCCTCAGCCCCAAATCCTAAATGATAATCTTTTTTTTTTAAGCTAATGACCTTAAAAATTTTTTTTACCTAATGGCCCCCACGAAGACGTGGAGACTCCCTGTGATGCCATATGATTAAGCCAGGGTTCTCAGTCGGTGCGTCAGACATCACCGATGATGGCGTGTGGCAGCAGGTCCCCGATGGATGTGTTTACAGGAGTGATGGCTTTATTTTTCACAACTCTCTTCAGGGAACAAAAGAATGAGTTTTTCCGCAACCTGGGTAAATGGACTACATGAGAAGACGCACATGTAACATTCCAGTGTCCGCGGTTGTATTTTCCCTTTTTAAAATAAACCTGCAGGTTGGGACCAGAGGGAAAGCTGTTGGAATCGGACCTCACCGTGGAAACCAGTGGCCCGCCCCGCCCACTCCTCACGCCCCGCTGCTTCTGTTTTGTAGGTGGTCTTCAGCAAGTACTGCAACTCCAGTGACATCATGGATCTGTTCTGCATCGCCACAGGCCTGCCTCGGTGAGTGAGCCAGAATCGTCCCTGCTGGGAGGTGGCCGTTCTGCTCCGGGCCTTTAATTCCCCTTGAGAGGAAGGTACCTGGGAGGGGCAGTCGCCGAGTGTGAAGGATGAGAGGTGAGGAAGAGCCGGTGGGCTCGGCTTGCACATGAGAACTTTCACGTCGTCGGTGCGTGAAGCCCTGGAGGTTTCGGCCGCAGCCACCTGCTCCTGGCCAACGGGCACGGCTGTGTCTACACGGAGGAAACCACTGGGCAGAAGTAGGCAGAAACTACCATCTTAAGAGGTTTTTTCTTTTTTTTCATTTATTCATTTGCTTTTGGAAGAAGAATACAGGAAGGTGGGTGTGTCTGGCTTTGGCCCCCCTGGTCCCAAACGACCCGGCAGGTGCCTTTTCTATCTCAGAGGGGTCATCACAGATCACCGTTTAGTAAGAGACTGGCTTCAGAAATGAATTGACCAGTAATCTACCTTATGGAACCCTCAATTCCAGAAGAGTTCTTTTCCCAAATCACCAGTTTGTTCGAGCACGTGGATCTTCTATCCTAACTTTCCGATTATCGAGAGTGATCAGGAGTAGATTTGGCGTGCCAGTGGGGAAGGTGAGAGAGAAGGACAGTAGGAGTCCTTCACCGACAGGTGAGAAAAAGCCTGAAATCACAGCAAATGGCAGTTTGTAGCAGCAGAAACAGCCCACAGTTCGGAGCATCTTTTGGCCCATATATCAAGCACTGTGCTAAGAAATATACATATATTATTCTTTATAAGAACCCTGTGATTCTGGTGTCGCCCTCATTGCACAGCTTTTAAAAATACACCACTAAATACCAGAGAGCTTAAGTAAATTGGTCAAGAGAACACCGCTCCTAAGAGGCCCCCAGAGATGAGAGGCTGAGGGAGACTCAGCTTTCCCATTTAAAACTGTCTTGTAGGAGAGATTTATGCCCATTTTGTGGATTCCCAAAGGGACTGGACTTAGGAAGGCAAGCTGTGAATTCATCATTGGCCGACACAAGCATTCATTTCTATTTTACCCGTTTTTTAATCTCCCAACTCAATAAATTAGACTTCCTCCAACTCCCGTTGTTAATTACTTTAAATCTACCAGGCACGTAGAGTTACCCACAGCCATGTCACTTCTTTTATGAATGGAGTGTCGTGTCTTGAGGATGCCTCCTCCCGGCCCTTTGGATGGGCCCGTCCCCAGCACTCATGTTCTTGTCGTTTCCGGCTCCCGTCGCACGTGAGGCCCCAACTCAAGGGTGCGCCCCGGAGCGAGAACATCACGGTGAAAACACTGACTCGGCGTGTCTTTCAGGAACACGACCATCTCCCTTCTGACCACGGACGACGCCATGGTCTCCATCGACCCCACCATGCCCGCAAATTCAGAACGGTAAGCGGCTGGCGGCTTCATCAGCTTCTGGATCTCAGGGGCTCTCTGACACTTCTCTACACACATGGGAGGCTCCCTGTGGTGGTTGTTTTTAGTTTACTGCTGTAGGAAAATCTGAATTTAAGCCAAAGATGAGCGGATAGGTGTGGGAGGGCCTGTGAAGAGGCTTGATTCAGCTTGTTCCTGTGCAGAACTGGTCACTTTCCAGAAAGGAACAGTTATAAGGAGGCCCAGGAACGTTTTTGATGGCTCCACATTCAGTTCTCAGCAAGAGCCCTTTGAGGAGGCACTGTTGTTATTACCGTTGTACAGATGGGGAAACTGAGGCACGGGAGGCTGAGAGATGAGTAGTGGAGCCGGGTCCCAGAACCCTTGTGTTAACTGCCCCATTGTCCACCTCAGGGAGGGCTGCAGGAGATTCCCTGACCAGAGCCCCTGGGGGACGTTTCGTGTTTACCCGCTGGGGCCAGTCCTGGTGCTGATAAAGTGCTGCCCACCAGACCACTGGACCACTCTGCACGGGAGAGGGGAGGGAGCCTGGGGGGCAGAGGAGCAGGAACTGACAGAGGCCTGGAACATAAATAGGCATCAGGCAGTAAACACATTTGTAAACATACATAAAATTGGCAAAGCCTGGCTTTATGTGCCCCGAGGAAGGACAAGGCCTCTGAGCCGGACCCTCTGCAACCAGTGACCAGCCCCTGCACCCAGTGGCCTGGAGAGTCCCTGATGGCCTCCACTTCATATTTGCGGCTGGGCAAGGCAGAATTTAAAACAGGGTTCCCTGCGAGGCTGAGGAGTGGGAGCCTGATTGGGTGTGGGGTGCCCCTCAGCACCCCTGTCTGCTGCTCCTGCTCCTCACTGAATACGCCCTGCGAGGGACATGTGTTAACCTGGTCATTGGGGTGTCCCAGCTGGTCCGAGCCTGCAGGAGAAAGCATGAACCGGGCAGACCCTCGCATGCCCCAGCAACTGGAGGCCCGTGGCTGCTTAATGACAGCTTGGAAATCTTTGAGCTCCACGTGAGGTGGCCTGGGACCTCCACTGTAGGTCCCCAAAGGGTTCCCCCCACTCAAGGTGTGTGCACACCTGAGCACCCAGAGACGGGCACCTGCTTTTCTTCCTCCTGCTCCCCGAAGCCGGCCTGTCAGCCATCCACCCTGGGCAGGTGCAGGATTCCCCGGCCCCGGGCAATGGCTCAAACCGTCGAGGACGGCTAAGGCTTTGGTGCAGGGAGCCAATCAAATAACAAACCCCGCGGGAGGTACAAAGTCCTAGAAAGTCTTACCAGCCTCCACTGTCCCCGTGCTCGGTGGGCCTCAGCCTGCCCTGTCCTTCCCCGTGCATGTGGATGCTTCAGCCAGGCCTTCCCTTCCCACTGTGCCCATCAATCTCCCCGAAGAATTTCCTCGTCAGGAGCCTCTGCCCCCACGTTCTCTTGCTCTGATTATCGTCGCCAAGCTCCCAGAAGGAGTGGTGCTAATTGGCTCCCCAAAGACTCCACTGAGATTCTTGCAAATGCGTTGCGAGCTCTGTCCTGACCCAGATCTCCGTCAGAAGGAAAGTCACCAAGTGAACTGTTACCCTGACGGCCCCAAGACCGAAGTGGCGTTGTCAGAGGGGAAATGTCACTCACACCAGTGCCTCGTCAGTGCATGTTCATCTCTGATGGAGGAACCTGCATTTTCCCTGAATTCAGTTAAAACAGTTTGTCTGTGGAGTTTGTCGATTCAGACTTTGTCACCCGTCATATCTGGTTTGATACTTCATTCTGTGCCAGCAGTTCTCAACAGGGGCAGTTTTGTTCCCCAGGGGACATTGGTAAGGTCTGGAGACAGGTTGTCACAAACGAGGGAAGGGGGTCCTTCTGACACCCAGTGGGCAGAGCCCAGGGCGGCTGCTCCACGTCCCACAGTGCACGGCACAGCCCCTCCTCAGAGGCTTGCCTGCCCCAAATGTCAGCAGTGCCAGGCTGAGAACTCTGGTTTACATGAGTCTCTGCCGTTTTCCCTTTACAGAGCTGTCGGTTGTCCGCTCAGAGGTCACCAGGCTCCTAACCCAGCGGGTCATCAGCACCCAGGTCGGGGGGCTGGTTGAAACAGAGTGGACTCCTCCCTCCCCCTCCCCGCCCGCTCCGTTTCTGATCCACGAGGTCTGGGTGGGGCCCCTCCGGCATTTCTGCAGGTCCCAGGTGATGATGCTGATGGTGGTCGGGACTCCCTTTAGAATCACTGTTGTGACCACTGGGATTTTTCCTCCGCCTTCAGTCTCTTCGCCCTCTCCCCACATTGGAGGTCGGGCACCTTTCTTATTTTGGAACTGCCTCCTCCACTGGCTTCTCTCCCGTCTGTGTCTCAGCCTTGTGAAATGTGGGTGCTCTCAGCCCCCACTCATTTCAATCGTGTCTTAGCCCCCAGCAAGGCCTCCTGTCTGCTCTATGACTCTCTAGTTCCACCTCTCGACTGCCATTGGGGGTCCCGTCCATTCTAAACATGCACAGTATAAACTAGTCCAACTAAACCAGTGACTTCCAGCCCTGGCTTCAGATTAAAACCACCAGGGATCTTCACAAAGGCACTCATGCCCAGACCCCTCCTCGGACCAATTAAATGCGAATTTTTTAAAGCTCCCTAGGGGATTCCAGTATGCAGCCTGGGTGAGAACCACTGATGGAAAGTGTGGAAAACCTAAGAAACTACTCTTGACCCAGGTCAGTGCTCAGCCTGCCGGTGACCAGAAAGGCATGTCTACCAGACACAGGGCTTTCTCTTCTTGGAAAGTGCTGGATCAATTTAGTTTCTTCCTAGCATATAGCCAAGTCGACGTTGCAGTCAGTCGGGTTGTTTCTCTGGCTTCCTCCACTTCTGAGGACCTTGCAGCCATCGTGCATGGACCTGTCACCTCCTTGTCTCCCCAGCCTCTGACTCAGGAACCACCTCGTGGGACAGGGCTGGCCGGCATGCTTGGATTCTTCCCAGTTTCCCGCTCACAGGAGGGGCCTTTCGTGATCTCTCCTCCAAATTCCAGGGGCTCTTAACTGTGGCCACCTGGACACTGATCAGAAGTGGGGGGCCTAGTTGCCCCATCTCTTATGCCTAAATTTTCTGGCTCCTTCCCTGCCCCTCATTTCAAACCAAATATCATGACCTTTGGACTCTTCCTTCTTGCCTTAGCACCCTCTTTAGATAGCCTCAGCCCACCCCTAGTTTAGACCATCATACCTCACGTCCGGGCTTCCTGGTGCACAGACTCCTGGTTTGTGCCCCTGGACACCCCTCAGTCTAGTCCCATCTGCCTTCCAGAAAAATCGGCCTCAATCATGGCTTTCATCCCATCACTCCCCAGCATGATTCTCCAGTGGCCCGTCAGCCACAGGACATTGTCCAGACTCCTCTATCTGGAATGTCTGGCCCAAATCCCTCTTATAACACTGGTCTCCAAGTGGGCTGACCTGCATGATTCCCTACACCAGCCAAAGTGTCACTCCCATCCACACACACCCCAGCACTTCCCACCTCTGCGCTGGCTGAATTCCTGCCCTCCCTGCGGACCCCATGGCGGGAATCCACTGGCGGTCCCCTGGCCTTTCCTAGGCCTCCTGGCTTTTCTGTCATATCAGGGAACGGTCAGACCAGCATCTTAAATAACCTAAAACATATTTACTTAAGTCAGAGGGGCTCTAATCTAACAGTGGGCTGAATAACTTTTGCACTTTTGGAGCTGGTAAGAAAGATGACTGATCACCAAGCAGCCTCAATTCCTAATGACCAACAAGTGTAAATAGACACGTCCCAACTTGTTCAGATAATGCTCCGAGGGACCCTGAGCCATGTGGTCCCAGTGCTCCTTTCTGGACTGGGGAACATTCTGGATACTGTGGTATCCAGCCAAGGAAGATGTTGCTTCTTGACAACTCTACCCCTTCCATTTCTGCCACTGCTAATCCTTGTCAAAGGAGAGAAACAGATGTTTAAATAGTGTGAGGAGGAGATGGGGCGTATGGCAGGGTATATGGAGAGAGGAAAGGGCAGAGTGACACAGCATGCATGTGACAAACACAGACGTGCCTTTCGTTTACGACTTTAGCCGAGTTGTGACACACATAGCTCCCTACGGGATGAAACAGCTATGCGCCTACAAAGATGGCACGTGTGGCCATTCCTGGGGCTCAGGAGAAGGCCTCCTAGAATCCGGCCTGGCTCCCGGACCCCTTCTCCCACTAAATGTGCTTGAAAAAAGGTCTCAGAGCCCAGGCGGTGACATTTGAAAAAATACAAATACAATAAAAGTTCAAGGCAAGTTTATCTCCTTTAAAGAGAGAATGGTTTATGTCAATTTTGTTCTTGGGGAAGAGAATGATGACGATCCAACTCAATTTAGACCGAGCAGGGAGTTGATTCAATCATGGAAACAATATAACTGGTTCTGAGAACGTCACTGTCGTTCAGAATCAAGAGGATTAAGGATCCAGGAGCCAAGTCTAATCTTGAGGGCCAAGAAATTCAACCCAGGATGCTCAGCCCACAAGCCTGGATGGTTCCTGCAAGTGCCTGGAGCCTTCAGTCTCCATGTCCGGTCCCACATCCACTGTGCTTCAGTTGCTAATCTGGGGGTTCCCTCCTTCAGCTCAGCAGACGCTGGGAGAGGTTATCCTCTGTGTGCTTTTTTAGGCAGAAAAGGGCTTTGGAGGGAGGGTTGGGCTCTGTTCACATTGACAAGAAATCCCAGGATGGGTGAGGCCGTGGAAGGGTCTCTTCATAAGCCGTCCCTGAGTCCTGTCCACAGGGCATCTGTCCTCAGTGCCTCTGATGTGCAGAAGCTGCTGGAACATGCCGCTCCATCTCTCCCCATCCCCACCGCACCTGTGTGGAGCCAGCCTTATTCTGCATTCCACCCTCACCCACCTCTCTTACCCTCTCTGCACCTTGTCACCACCACTTCCCCCCCACCACTGATTTTAGGGGCCAATGGCAAAGAAGGAGGAGGGTGGAGTAGAGGGGGCAAGGGCCCCTTTCCCCACCCGCTGCCCCAACATCAGCGCTGCTTACAGCCTGGAGCCAGAAAGACAATGAGAAACCGAGGGAAGAGGAGAGAGGAAAGAGAAAGGAGGTGACGGCCACCTCGCCTTCGCTCCCGGAGCCCCTTACCTCCTCGTCCTTCCCAGCCCCAGCACCCCACTCTTCTCACTCTGAGCAGCAGTGACACATGGCCCAGAGCATGGCCCCTGGAGGTCACATCTGGTTCGCAGCCAGGCTCCCGTGCTCACTCGTCACCAGGGGTTTTCAGCAAGGTACCCACCCGCCTAAGCTCTAGGCTCCTTATACTTGCAAGGCTGATGGTTACTGGGAGAATCCAGTGGAATGATAGAATTGCCCCACTCGGCGCATTAGTGTGAGTATCGAGGACATTAATACTGGTGTTGACTGAATGCCCACCCTCACCAGGCCCTGCCCCACCCACTCAGGGCGACACCCACCTGTGCGTCACCTGCTCTGCATGGAGGGCCACACTTCAAACCCACTCGGATTCTAAATAAGGTGTTAACCGATCTGCCAGGACCCAAACACCATTATGACAACATCTCTCTAGAGAATGAATCCTCAGTCCCAAATAACCAGCTTCCAGAAGACCTGAAGTGGGGCCTTTTCCCAAGTGGGAGCAGGAACTCACTGGCAGACATGAACCTGTGGACTCACCTCTGGACACTTGATGCCCGGAGGAATCCCTCCTGGGCTGAGGCGAGAACTCTAGACGCCGTGGAGTTGTCTGTCCACCATCCAGAGTGCCACGTGGTTTTTATTTTTATCCTTGGTCAGTGTTTTAATTGTGAAAATTTTCCACGTTGCCTGTAACTGTTAAACCGCAGGTATCACCCCAGTTAATCGCTGTTAACTGTTTGCTGTGTGTGAATCCCTCCAGATTCTCTGTGTTTCTTTCTCCAGAGCTGAGCTCACTCTGTTACTCGGTCACTGCTGTGTCTTCCTAACGGGATGTCCTGGGCATCCCTCCAGATCAACACCTGCACACTCATCTGCATCTTGAACCCCTGAATGACGAACGGCTGAGGTGTCATCTGTCCCCTGAGTGGAGAGGGGCCAGAGTGTTTCTAGGGCTTAGCCATTCAGACGGTTCGGTGATACACAGTCTTTTCACCTCGTACTTGAACGTGGCATGTCGGTTCCCTGAGGGCAGGAACATTCTTGTCTTGTTCACCATTATATCACCAACACCTGATGACAGCGGGCACTCGGTGAAAAATCTATTGAATGAATGAATGAATGATGGCGTGAACAAATGGCGTCTGAAGATCTCCCCCATGTACTGACGCTTCATGCGGGACATGTGTTCCTGAATTCACGGGCTGAGACAAAGGATGACGTATTTTACATTTTAATCCATGTTGCTAAGTTTCTCTCCCCAAGAAGGTGGCCCTCCATACTCCCACCAGCAGTGCTCGTGGGCCCCCGGGGCCCTGTGTCCTTGTAGACTCCTCTTATTAAGTTTTGAAATTTTACTAAACTGCTGGGTAAAAAAACAGCATCTCTCTTGAGATGACTTTTTAAAAATTTTTATTATTATTGGCTATTCTCTGTTCCTGTTCTTTGCCTATTTTCTTTTTTTTTGGTTTTGGTTTTTTTGTTTTGTTTTTTGGTTTTTTTGTGAGGAAGACCAGCCCTGAGCTAACACCTGTTGCTGAACCTCTTTTTTTTTTTTTTGTGAGGAAGACCAGCCCTGAGCTAACATCCAATGCCAATCCTCCTCTTTTTTGCTGAGGAAGACTGGCCCTGGGCTAACATCTGTGCCCATCTTCCTCTACTTTATATGGGACACCACCACAGCATGGCTTAATAAGCAGTTCGTCGGTGCGCATCCAGGATCCAAACCGGCGAACCCCGGGCCACTGCGACGGAGTCTGCGCACTTAACCACTTGCGCCACCGGGCCAGCCCCTCTTTGCCTATTTTCCATTGGCTTAGTTGTCTTTTCCTCCCCTTTGCCAGAGGTCCTTGTATGTGAGGGACAGTAACCTTTTGTCTGTTGTACATATGACCAGAATTCTCTTCCCACTCCCTCTGAGTCTCACGATTACTTGGGTGGCAGTAATCCTGAGATGCCAGTGCATTTTCTTTTTTTTTTTTTTTTTTTTTTTTTTTAAAGATTTTATTTATTCAGCTTTTTCGCCCCAAAGCCCCAGTAGATAGTTGTATGTCATAGGTTCACATCCTTCTAGTTGCTGTACGCGGGACTCGGCCTCGCGTTGGACGGAGAAGTGGTGCCTCCGGGCGCTCCCAGGGTCCGAACCCAGGCCGCCAGCATCAGAGCGCGCGCACTTAACCGCTAAGCCACAGAGCCGGCCCGCCAGTGCATTTTCGACTGAGTTATTGACACCATCCTCTCCGGTGCACCTGGGAGATGCAGTCGCCAGGAGCTCAAACCAAGCAAAGGAGAGAGGGCTGCCCTACATCAGTCAGGTCCTGGGATGTCATGGGCAATCCTGGCAGAGTCTTTGCCATCCCCCCTGGATTCTACACCTGAGCGGTACTGGGACCCATCACAAAATTTGTTTTATTGGCCACATGTGAACATTATAGAGGAAGTTCATCATTTAAGTGATGTATTTACAGTATTTAGAATTCTTCTGAATGAGGAAGCTTAGAACATCCAAAGAAACTAATTTCAAGAAAAAAACCTAATCCACTGAATTCTAATTTACCCCCAGCGCTTATCTCTCATAGCAGATGTGCCTAGAACGTCTGTGACAGCATCTCACAGAGGAACCATCTTCTCTTTTGCAGGACTCCCTACAAAGTGAGACCGGTGGCCGTCAAGCAACTCTCTGGTAAGGCCCTGCTATCATTTTTAAATTAAAAGGAAAAAAAAAAAGCTCCAGGCTGCCCCTGTGATTGAATATGTATTAGTTAAGCATTTCAATCTAAAGCCTGATCCTGTTACGGAACGTAAAGCCGTATCCTACTGCAGAGATGGTCTTATACTCTGCCCTTGACAATCCCTCAGGGACCCCCTCCCACCCTGTCCCCGAGGACTTAGCAGACACTGGGTGACATTCCACTCTTGTTTCTTCCTGGGCCCAGCACCCGTCCTGCCCATTCAGACTGTGAGCCACAAAGGCGGTCCATTTGCAGCCCTAGCCCTCAGGATGCCTCATGCAGTCAGGGGTGTTGTTTTATTAAAATCTCATTTCCTTTTGGATTTTTTTATCACTTTTGTTTATGTATGATTTATGCATAATAAAATGCTCCCATTTAAGTGTATATTTTGATGAGCTTTGAAAAATTTACACACCCTTGTAACTACCACTAAAATCAAGACAAAAAGCATTTACATCACCTGGAGAAGTTCTCTGTGCCCCTTCCCTGTCCGCCCCCTCCCTCGACTCCTGGTCTCTGGTGGCAACTGATCTGCATTCTGACACCGTTGATTAGATTTGTCTTTTTGAGAGTTCCCTATAAAAGAATTGCATAGAATGTCTACTCTTTTTTGACTCAGTCTAATGTTTTTGAGCCTTGTCCATGTGTTGTGTGTATCCATAGTGCATCCTTTTTACTGATGAATAGTGTTCTATGGTGTGGATGGACCACAGTTTGTTTATCCAGTTACCTGTTGAAGGACATCTGGGTTGTTTCCATTCGGGGGCTTTTATGAAGAAGGCTGCTATGAGCGTTCAAGTACACGCATTTATGGCGCCATGTGTTTTCATTTCTCTTGGATTGCTGGGTCATATGATTAAGTATATGTTTAACATTGTAAAAATCATTTTTTTCCAAAATGGCGGCACCATTTTGCATTCCCACCCAGAAGATATGAGTGTTCTAGTTGCTTCACATTCTCACCAGCACTTATAGTGTCAGCCTTTTTGTGTTAATCATTCTAATGAGTGTGTAGTGGTATTGCGTGGTTACTTTAATTTGTATTTCCCTAGTGATGAATGATGGTGAGTGTCTCTAAAGTATTTACTGGCAATTCATAAATCTTCTTTTATGAAGTATGTATGCACATCCTTTCTGGTTTATTGGTGCTGATGATGGGTTGCTTTCCTTCTTCTCATTGAGCTGTGAGTGTTCCTCATATATCTGGGGTACACACCCTTTGTCAGTTATATATTATAAGTATTTTCTCCTGATCTGCAACTTGCCTCTTCATTTTCTTATCAGTGTTTCTTAATGACTAGAAGTTCTAAATTTTGATTAAGCCCAATTTATCAATCTTGTTTTTTTATGGTTTCTACTTTTTGTGTTCTAGCTAAGAAATCTTAGTTTATCCCATAGTTGTGAAGTTTTCTTCTAAAACTTTTATAGTTTTAGCTTTTGCATTTAGGTCTATGATCCATTTCAAGTTAATTTTTGTGTATGGCCTGAGGCAAAAGTTGAGGTTTATTTTCCTTTTTTAAATTTAACGTTCATTTAATTTTCATTTTTGTAAGGTTGATGGCTACAGAATAGAATTTTGAAGCCACCCATACCATGCCAGATGGTGTGTGAGTGAGGCATTGATGTTTCTGTGCCTCAGTTTCCCATCCTTCTCAGCTCACACATGAACACTAGTTGCTTTAAATTTTTTTATGCTTGAGTAGCTCTTTATGAAAACTCTTAATTGAGAGTAGATGTTAGAATAAAACATGAGTTCTAACTTTTCCTAGTATGAAAATACCTTTTTAACATAAAAGCTTAGTAAGCCCTTGACTTATTAATTTTTTTTGGTCAGCCCCGTGGCTTAGCGGTTAAGTGTGCGCGCTCCGCTACTGGCGGCCCGGGTTCGGATCCCAGGCGCACACCGACACACCGCTTCTCCGGCCATGCTGAGGCCGCGTCCCACATACAGCAACTAGAAGGATGTGCAACTATGACATACAACTATCTACCGGGGCTTTGGGGAAAAAAAGGAGGAGGATTGGCAGTGGATGTTAGCTCGGAGCCGGTCTTCCTCAGCAAAAAGAGGAGGATTAGCATGGATGTTAGCTCAGGGCTGATCTTCCTCACAAAAAAAAAAAATAATAATAATATATATTTTTTTACATTATTATTAACTAAACCCCATAGTTTCTTCAGATTTCACCAGTTTTTCTCCTGACGTGCTTTTTCTCTTCCAGGATCAATCCACAACCCACATTGCACTCAGTCGTTATGTCTTCCCTGTCTTCTGTGCTCTGACAGTGTCTCAGACTTTCCTTGCTTGTCATGACCTTGGCAGTCTCGAAGAGTCTACAGAATGTCTCCCAATCTGGGTTTATCTGATGCTTTTCTCATGATCAGCCTGGGGGTGTGGATTTTGGAAAGAATACATGGGGTCCATGACATCCACATGAATCACTGGCTTCTCCGCTGTAAAGTTACTAGTTTTCCCATTTTTTACTCTATTCTTTGGAAGCAGGTCCCTAGCCCACCTTCAAGTGGGGGAGAAAAGAATTATGGTTCCCTTTCTCTACACAGATATCTATTTGCTCCAGAACATTTGCTGAAAAGACAATGCTTTCCTGCATTGACTTATCATGACACCTTTGCTGAAAATCAGTTGACCATATATGTGTGTCTTCTTCTGGGCTCACTATCCTGCTCCGTCAATGTACACGTCTGGCCTTAAACCAATGCCGCACCGTGTTGATTACTGTAGGTTTGTAGTAAGTCCTGAAATCAGGAAGTCTGCAGTCCCTCCCAAACCTGGGATCCTAGGAGCAGAGACGTTTGATCACAAACCGCGCTGCAGAACACCAAGAGTCATGTTAATATCTCACCATCATGATGTTTTGAGTGAAGGAACAAAACGGAGCATTTCTTCTAAATATGCCAGGATGAGAAGATAACTGCTCACCTCGAGGCTGAGTGCGATGTTTAAAGAGGGGGCGGGGGCCGGTTCTGAAGCATTGGGCGGGCGGCGGTGAAAGCAGCACGGGGACGTGACCTCCTTGAGAACTTCAGCAGGGCCAGGTTCCCACTGCCCTGGCCCCAGCACAGGGCCTTGCGCATAGTAGGAGCTTACTGTACCTGTTGGGCAGCCCCTGGTGCATCTGGAAGGGACAGGAAGCTACATGCATTTCTGCTGACTGAGAGCATTGCTCTTGAGAGAGAGAAGCAGCCAAGTGAAGGGCCCGGCTGGGCCTCGGTCTGCTCTGTTTCTCTGTTCCTCTGGCAGTGCCATGGAATTTCCTCCGCAGTGACAAGGAGTGGGTTTCCTCCGAAGGCACTGCATTTCTTGGGGCAACTTCAACACCCCCGTGGGTCAGGCCTCCCCTTGCTCTGTGCACATTCCCGGTCAGGCAAACACCACCTCTCCCCGGCTCTGGTGTGTGAGGACCCCTTCTCTTCAAATGCACCAGGATTTCAGGTTGTTCTCTGGGGGACAAAGTTGATGTCAGGTAGACCCCCACGGCCTGAGCCTTCTTGAGACAAGTAAGGAAGCAGAGCGCTGTCTTCTCCCTTTGGAACTTGTTCTTAGGAATTTTTAACTCTTTTAGCTCTCTCGGGGGAAATAACCTTCCGTCTCCTGTCTGTCCCTACCCGGCCTCTGCACAGGTTCAGTCCTGGCCATGCAGCCTTGCGTGCGGTCCTGTCAGGAGCCCCACGTGCCCTTGAATTGACAGCCCACACTCACAATGGCAGGAAAAAAAGCCTCAGGAAAGGAAATGAGATCCCGTGTGCAGACTCACGTGCAGCGGCTGAGGCCCCCAGACCCGGCCCCTCCTGGAGTCCCCGCCCTCCTTGCTCATCCTCCAAGTCACACGTTTCAATAGACGCTCCTGACGGGTCCTGGTGGAGCCGTGCGGTGCAGAAATGCCCCAGTCTGGCTGTTTTGCTACTTAAATGTTAGGAACCAGTAAAGGGAAGAGTATTGTGAAAAACGTGACTTTTCGTAGAAAAGAAGGCTGGGCTGGTTCTGGCCTGGCCCGCTCACCACGGGGAGCTGCACTGACCTTCTCACAAGCAAGAAGTAGGCCCCAGGGAAGGGCAGTGGAACAGCCTCATGCCCCCAGAACACACGACGTGTAATGACCCCCATAAAGAGGGAAGTTGTGTGTTTATAGACGCCTTTTTAGGAAAACGTTCTCTTCACCTCATCGTGGGAGACAGTCATGCAGGTAGACTGTTTTTCCCTTTTATAAATGAAATACAGCTAATAGCAACTGTAAAAACCATGGGATGAACTTTGATGCATCTTTTTATGACGACAGTGCTGATTCTTTTGAAAAGCCTCGAACCATTCGTCATTTTTATTTGATTTGAGCAGCTCAGACTCAAACAGTGGAGTCTTCCAAATTATCAAATACGTTATTTCGGGCGGCAGTCTGTTATCGAGTGCCTGCCTGCGTGTCCTCTCCTACCAGGAGCCGACGGAGGTGCCCATTAGAGTAATGGCCACACCGCCCATTAACCACGGGGTCAGCACTCCGAGGGAAAGGAGGGGCCCCGAGGAAGAGGCCGGGCCTCGCCTGGTCCGAGCCTCCCGAGCAGGACAGGCAGTGTGGGGCTCAGGCTGTGTGCTGCAGTGCCAGTCAAGGCCAGCGTTCTCTTTTGACCACAGGCCGCCTGCACTCCCGGCCGGGGTCCACTTTCACGAGCCCGAAGAACCTGCAGCAGCTTATAGGTCCAGTCGGAGCCTGGGCTCTTTTCTCGGGGCAGTAGTGGCTGTTAAGCATCGAGTCACTCTTAATCTCGCAGAGGGTCTTCAACTTTAGAACTAAAAGAGGACCCTGCTGTAGGGACGCACACACTGCCGCTTCCTCTCCGTTCCCTGCCCTTCCCTAGGACCAGAACGGGGTCTTACAGCGCACAACACACTGCCCATCTCTGGCAGCCTATCGTCCAGCCCAGCCTGGAGAGAGGCCCT